GTGATATAGCAAAATCATGGCACCTTTGTTCGAGATGTTGGTACTGGCGAAATTTTAAGTTAAAGCATATTATGTGTACATGGATTCTTGTCAAATATTTTTGGTTAGAACCTTTATGTTTTTGCTATCTAAATTTTTTGCTTTTGTTTCGGATTTTTAGCTTAAATTGTGTCTTCAGAACATGGTTTTGCATGTGCGAAAACCACGTTTTTGGAGACATTTTAGGCTTAAAATTAGAAATGTAGACAAAAAATGTAGGTAGTAATATGGCGGCATGGTGTTTAGCGAGAAATTTGGCAACCTGACGGTGCATATAAGAGTAGTTCCAAGGCTGGTATGAATACATTTCACAAAAAGTAAATATTTTGTTATAAATATAATGTATTGGGACTGAAGTCGTCGCCAAATGTTTTGCTGAAGATATTGTTTCATATGAAGTCACCAATGTTTACAATCACCAATGTTTACCAATGTTTAAAAAAGTAAAAGAATGCATTTTCAAAATTAGCAACAAGAACACAAATTGTAAAAATGTAAGGATCGCATGTGTTTTTACTATTATTGTATTTACCATGGATATGAAAATTTGGGACTTAATCTAATGATGAAACATCTTCCATACAATTTCTTCAGAAACAACAAATGTGCATTCTGAAAAAAGTGCATAAAAAAAAAAAAAAAAAAAAAAAAAAAAAAACATGAAATAAAGCTCTACTTTAATTTGAAGAAAGCACCGGACTGAAAATGTGAAGATGTGACATGCCGACAAAAAAAAGGATTATGTTCGCAAAATTGGTTTGAAGTATCGAGAATCAGTTTCTTAGTTGCAGTTTAATTTGTGTATGGTATTTAAAATTAACTTCCGTTGAATATTTTCAATATCAGTTTTATATGAATCATTGCACTGATTTGATTAGAACAGTTTTGTATTAATGTTAAGACCGTTAATTAAAATAAGCGGCACTGGTAATATTGTCAAAGTTGATGAAAGTCTGTTTTAATGTCGGAAAAAATGTTAGTCGTAACCTTCTGCCCTAGTTGGCATGTGGCAGGATTTGCTGAGAAACAAAACAAGGGTTTTTTTTTTTATTATTATTTGTTGTGCCTAATGGCTAATCTTCCATAAGTGGGGTAAGTTGGTGCCAAACTCTTTTCATTTGCAATCTCAAGCTTCACATCGCCAATTGCATCATCATTTTGCAATTGCCAGTTGCAAAAAAGAAACAGCAGTGTAAAGTCTAACATTGCCAAATGAAAAAGACACTAAATACAACACAAGCATAAATTACTACAAACTAAAACATAAATTTAAAATAAACTACAAAAAATTCGAGTCACAAACACGAAACTAAAAATTACAAAAATAATACATGCCAAATGTCTTTTCACTCATAAAAAAAAATTGTCAAATATATCCAAATTCACTAACAATGGATGCATCTTAAGCTCACTAAAATATAAAAGTTACTATCCTCATAGAATTCAACACACTGAAACACTCTCGCTCAACACTTTAAACATTCAAGAAACAAAATTAAAAAATAATTTACTGATCTGAAAAACAACTAAATAAAATGAAAGCATTCATAAATTATAAACTACATGTCATCTGAAATGTAAAATTCTTCCACTAACAACAGCTTAACCTCCTGCAAATGTTAAACACTAAAACATTTTAAAATAACACAACATTTCAAAATTAAATTCAAGAAAAAAATCTTGCTACACTAAACTCTTACTCATTACAATCGGCGAAATAAAGCTGTGTGGTTGCCACTAGAAAACATATAGCCGGAAACCACAACCAAATCAAAATCGTGCCGGTTTCGCACTCACCTCGCTTATGAAAGATTAACCTACCTAACCACTTTCCCAGAACTTTGCTTAAAGTTACTGAAGAAAATATTATTGATGGAACTGTAATACTCTCAGACGGTTGGAAAGTAAAGTCATTAATAAATAAAAAGAGGTTGGGTTTGAACATTTCTGTGTTAAACACAAATATAATTTTATCAACCCCAATACTGGTTGTCATATGCAAACTATTAGTGTGATGAGATAGTGTGAAATGACAAAATAAACTTCAATGTGGCACTGACCATAACCAATTAGATTCTTATTTAATTGAATTTATGTGGCAGCAGCAGCGTCTTAAAAGACAACATTTAACAGACATTTTAAATGGTATCTACAGTTTCATGCCTCCACATTAATCTTAATTTGCTTACTATTTTTTTTTTTTTTTTTTTTAAACACAGGACTACGTTTCTCAACGCTTGTATCTGAACAACTCCAAAGGCAGTTTTCGTTTATGGCTTATTTGATAGTTAAAGGAGACCATAATAAAACAAAAACAATTTTGGGAATTGTTATTCAGATTGAACCACAGTAACGTGTCAAAGTTAAGCAAAAATACACAATATTTTGAGAATGTCACAAGTACACATGCAGAAGTTAGGCTATAACACCATTGAGTTCTCTATGTTGGAATTGACAGCAAGCAGTTGGGGGGGGCAACGAACTGATTTTGTTTGTACATAAAAATAAATATAAAATGATAAGAAATAAAGATGCGTAAGAGACAAGCAGGAAAATTAACAAAATTTTTATTGAAAGAAGATAATAAAGAACACCATAAAAAGAAGCAAAAAGCGCTATTATGAAAATAAAATTAACTTAAGTCATTAATTTTCAAATAAATGAAGGTGCTATGCCGTATATTGTTACTTAGAGGCAACGCAAACAAGATCATAAAATTTATTTTTAGACTAGGTAAATCAGGTCATATTCCTCTCATTTGTAACCTTATACTGTTGCAAATAATAAATTGTCAGAAATATGTTTGTACCTTTGGCAGATTATAGTGGAAAGATTCTTCAATGGTCTCGGTCAAATAAAAAAAATTATCTGTTCTGTGCACAACATTTAAAATCCTAAGGAATAGTCCTATGCATCTAAACCCAACGACCATTTGGAAAAAATGTGGCAGACAGATTCCTGTCAACTTTTTTTTTTTTTTTTTTCCTGCCTTCTTTGCCAAGTTGTTTAGTTTACATTAAAAATCTCTAATTTTATGAATATGTGTTATGTTACTTTTTCCCCTTGGATTTTTTATAACTTAGCCACATCGTAAATACTTAGGCAATTGTTTTATGCTTCGAAAGTTTCACCAGATTGTCAGCTTTTGGCGAATCCGGTCTCGATGACAGAATAATACCTATATATATTTATATGAAGTTCTTTTTTCTCTATGTGAAGTGAGCAAATTGTCATGACTGCTAGGTAGTTATGCAAAGTGCCTAATTTATGTGTAGTGATGATGTGTAATGCATGAATCTTTATTAGAAGCAAAAGACAACATTTAACAGACAGCTATGTAGTGAATAATAAAATATGTTGCTGATAAATTAATGGATAAGTAAAGGACTAGTGTGAACTTAACAAAATACTCATTTTAGATCAGCAGTTAATAAAACCTAAAATGAACCTGGAAGGGGGAAAAAAGGGGGGTAGTTGAATTGCAGAGTAGCCCAAATGGAAAGTAAAAGCAAAATGAAGTTTAGATTTAACAAACGATGGATAGTTTCAATTATATTGCTGTAAATGGCCTGTGAACAAGTTATATTGCTTGAACATTGGGCACATGCTTATTCAACATATGCTGACAGTCACAATCATGATTGTCCAAGAAAGTTGAAAATCCAGTGTATATTCCAAGATAATGAAAATAATAGGGCTACTCCTCAGCTTGTTATAATGAAGGCTAACTCCTCATTATGACAAAATTATACTCAATGTAAAAAAAAAAGTGCTGATTACAAAAACTACTGTTGTTTCAAAGGACAAATCCACATGCACTCAAACACCTGTCTGCTATGAACATACCTCGATTACCATATTTTTTGGCAACTTGGTGCACTGTGTCATCAAATCAAAAAGTAATGAAGAAAACGCTAGCTAGTATTTTGCACTGATAGTTTAAAAATTGCAACTAATTAGTGTTCAAGATATTGCCTAAAATAATTTAGTCTGAATGATATTAGCAAAAAAGGTAAACGTCTGCTTATATAAGGTATTATTTTATTTATTCTCACTTTTAAGTAGAATTTAGGAGAAATTTCTCAGTATATTTTAATTGTTTTTATGATCGTTACAAATAATTTAAATTGTAAGCATATAAATGAATTGCCAATATCACATAAATTACAAGAATAATTTAATCTCTAAGTGATTTATGGCTCCTAAGTTTAATAATATGTCATTAAGTCCTTTTTATCGAACATTCTACATAATTAGCATTTGATAGAATATTTTTTATTGGTTTAAATGATCATTATAATGTACGAGTTAGCTATATTTGAACTAAAATGCGATTTAAAGAATTGAGTTGAATAACACTAATTTCAGTTCATAGTTAATTTTATGCTGCATATTCAGCATATAAATATTTGGAAAAGAAGGTATAGATTTTGTGAAATTCAGAAATAATAGGTTATGCAAATGCAAACAATATGAAAACATGTGACGCAGCAGAAAATTGAAGCAACAGCGATTTGTTACTTTACCTTCGCAAAAGACTAATTTTATATTAGCAGTAAACGTCAAAATAGGAAATTGAAATTTATTTTCAAGTGACAGTTGCACTTCTATTTGTATACTTCGACACATTAGTACTTATGCAGAATTTTGTCAAAATGTTGCATTTGAAAGTTTATTTTTTTAAATATTCAAAACTGGAAATAAAATCAGTCTTATCATTTAAAATTTTAATATATTTGTTCTATAATTAACTTAGCTGTATAAAATACTCTTATTTTGCTTGCACTCATATAGTTTTCATATATTTAATATGTTTCAAGATCAGTATTACTTCTTCAATAACTTTAGTTATAGACTATGGGAAAAAGAATATTATTGTGATTATAAAACCTATACCAGTTACAGTTAAGGCACTTGCTTTTTTAATCCTTTTCCTGAGTACTGTAGAGGCACTCCTTAAAAAGGTGTGGTTTCCTGGCTATAAGACATCTACTTCCTTGTGAAAGTCCTTGAGCACTTGGATTTCAGTTAAATTTTCATTGGGACAAAAGTTGGTACTCTTCTGTTCCTTCTTTAAAAAGATCTATAAAAATCTATAAAAAGATCTATAAAAATGGTATGTATAGAAGCATAGCTTTTAAATTATATGTTTCATTAGTTTTAATTTTTTCATGTTTTAGATGGAATTCATAACAGGACAAACCCTTGTAAGGAAAAACAGGTCTAATGTGCAAGCTGATGATGCTTTGCAAGGCAAAGAGATAATTGGATTTTATTTTTCTGCTCACTGGTGTCCACCGTGTAGAATGTTCACTCCGGTATTAGCAGATTTTTACGAAGAAATCAAGGAAAATGACCTTCCTCTTGAAATCATATTTGTATCATCAGACCGATCTGAAGATGCCTTGTTTGATTACATGAACGAAGCTCATGGTGATTGGCTAGCTATACCTCATGGTTCTCCTGTGGCCGAGTATGTATACATTTTTATCAGATTTCAGACAAAATTCATTTCTTTCTTCCCAAAGTAATAATATTCAAATTCAAAAATCCATCTAGCTATTCTAAATAAATAAATATATATTTTAAGTATAAGATATATGTAATGTATGTTATATATGTGTTATTCTAAATATAAAAATTATACTAGCTGTATTCTAAATTTCTTCAGTAATGTTTTGATACAATTAAAAGGCAAATCATATAGGCTTCACTATTGGGGTAATATGCTAAACATTAAATTCATAATATAGCTGTGGTAAACCTGTAAGGAAATAATTTAGTTAATTGCAAAAAATATATTTCGAAGCTTGTTTTCCATAATGTGTAACTATAACACTGAATTTCTTTTAAATGTTTATCTTCTAAAATTTCATATAAAATCTTAGCTTATTTATAAAAATTCAGAGACAAACTGATGATCCAATTATATAAACAAAGATTTATGTTAATATCAGCATTTATAATGAAAGAAAAAGTATAAAATTTCACATTCATTGTGTTTATGAAATCTGCGTTTTTTCTGCAGTGCTATTGTAAATTATCTCGATAGAGAATGTCAAAACTTCTGACTGAAAAACAAGTTAATTTCATTTTTTCAATATTTATTTTTAATCTTATATTCATTTTATAGATAGATAAGAGTACAAATATAAGGACAGATCAAATTAAAGGGAACCTACCAGTATTTAGCTGGTAAAAAAAAATTTCAGAAACATCTTCATTAAACCAGATGTTTCCCCATGTAAACATTGCATTAGCTATTTTTCATTTGTTTCCCAAATATGAACTAAGGTACAATTATGTCTTTGGGAAAATCCTTGTGTAACATCTGATTTTTCATATTGCATTTCCATATAAAGTTATGTGTAGCCTTTCATTGCGGATTACTTTAAACCTCTTAAACACCTTCTCAATTATTGTAGTGTATTAATAATCAGTGTATATATTTGTTAAGTACTAATGAAATTCCTTTTCTAGTATGTAATCAAATTAAAAGTTTTTTAAAGTATACTTGTATAAAGATGCAGAGGTTATCAATATTGAACATCTGCAGTGATGTTCAATATTGCAGTGATGTTCAGTATCGATTACACTTAAAGGTTTCATTTTAGGGTTTTTTATTTAGTTTTCCAATCAAGGAAAATAAATGAAATTATTTTATAAAAGCCGGTAATGCGTAGTTTACATATGTTAGTTTAAAAGTTAAACTTTAGAATATACTTTAAAAGTATAAATATTTTTTATTAAAATTAATATTACTAACTCTATTGTAGTTTTTGATATTTGGACAAACCTCTTACTATTAGTGGCAAATGAGGTTTATAACTGCTATATGCTACTCTTAATGCATCATCAAGATGAAAACATTAATTTGATTTTTATATAAGTTTTTCGCGTATTTCATTTTACAATAAGATGATTCACAAAACTATGTTGATATGAAAAATATGAGCAACCTTTGTGTACAATTTTGTATAATTATGTATATTTTAGACTTACCTTCCAAATTCAGCATAGTCTTCCTTATTTATTTATTTTTTATTTAAATAACCTCCGAATTCTTGTTATTTTTGAGATCGATGATTTTTTTCAAGTAGTACTGCATAATTTTAGCCCAATGTAACTAGTTGTGTAATAACTAGTTTTTCCTGGTTTAGTTCTTTTAAAATTTTTATGACAGTGTCTATTTGAAATGTAGAGATTGGCTGCTGAATTTTCTTGGTGACTGATTCTGTGAAATGATAAGGGATTCATTAAATTATATTTTTATTTCAATAAGAAATAAAATCCGTTTTCAGATTCTGTCATTGATAGATATCCATCCACATACGAACTTATTTCTTTATATTAATATAATTCTTTTTTATTACAATACTAATAATATTGAGATAATCTTTGCCTCTGGTTTGATGCTTCTTAGGAATAATTTCAAAACTTCTCAGGAACTACTTCTATTCGCTATAGTATCTAACAAAAATAGAAGCTGTAGTGTTGCAGAAACATTACTGCTAGAATCAAACGCCAAGCTAAAAATATATGCAACTTTTTTATCTTCTGAGCTTCTGTTGGGTCAAAAATGCCTTTTACTTTTTAATATATCTAATGCTGGTAGAATCTGAAAGTTGAATAATTTAAATTTTTTCAATAATTAAATTTATAAAATAGCTTTGAAGTATTGATAATGCATTGTTTGGCATTTTTGCAACAATTGAATGATTTTATGTGTTTACAAGATATTCAATAAGGTTCCGATGATGTTCTTGTCATCCCTGTGTCTTGAGTCTTTCGCCACCAAAATTATATTTTGTCGTAACGTAGGGTTTCTAGAAAAAATATTATTTTTCCCTTCTTATTATCAAGCCACAAGGAAATTTATTTACATTTCCTGTTCCTGAAAAAGAGGAATCTATGATCATACTCAAAACCAGTAAAGTTTTTTTTGCTTGTATGAAATTGAATGGTATATTTTAAAGAATTTTTCAAAATGCTGAGATTAATTGAGAAGGTTAAGCTTTTATTCTACATTTGACTATTTATTTAATTAAATATATTAAAATTGAATTGATAATTATTTTTTGTTTCATATATTCCATCTTTTTTATCAAACAGCTAGTATCCTTGGAACGGGAGAGTTGTATGTATAAACTGTCATCTACACCCATTTTTAAGAAAGAACAGTATATAAAGAAATGTATTAAACTAATATTTTCATTTTGATTTAGAAGTTTAAAATACAGGTATATGAATTATATATACTTGCCTGAATAAATGCAAAAGAGTTTATCAAATGTGGGAAATAATTTTCAGTTAAAAGAAGTTTTTATATGTACAATAAAAAAAAGTGGTAAAAATATAGTTATGGGTGCACCTTGGCGTTTTTTGGCAGTACATGGACGCTGAATTTGTGCAATTCTTTGACTTGTTATTTTGGCTTTGTGTACCTGAGATTTTTTGGTGCAAAAAATCAATCACCACTACACAAATAAAAAGTAAGTCAAAGAATTGCACAAACTAGGCATTGCACACTCTCTTGACTTTGTCCATAAACACATCAATTTATATTAACTTCGAAAGTCAAAGGACTGACCAACAAAAAATATGTAATCTCAATAAACTATATTTTAAATCAAACAATGAAATAACATAAAAATGGAAATTCATCTTAGCATACACAAAGAAAATATGCACGTACCTTATTTACAAATTTCCATGTGTTCAGTCAAACAAATTTCTTTAACAGCATCCAAAAACTTGTTAAAATTATCTGAACTAGAATCTGTATACTGGTGTCTCCACATAAATTCACAAAAATAAGAGTAAAAAATATCCTCCGTAGTGCCGGTATCCTCTGATGTTTGACCTTACGCATTTCCTTCCTACAAACAGGACACTTATAATGGCTACTAAGTAAACCTTCATTTACACACCAGTCAATTAATGCTTTTTCCCTTTTCGTTCCAAATCATACAGAAACTTCAAATTAATCTTACGCAACCAATTACGTTGTAATAAAGTTTTCATAGCGTTCAACTACTCTGGTTAAATGAAGCAACTGCTTAGCGATAATCCAAGGGTCACCCTTAAATCTACTCCTACGACTGCCAAAAAAGTTTTTTTAGTGAATTATGCAAGGCTAATAAAAAACAATTGTAATGAAAGGAACTTCATGTAGCAATGAAAGTATAACAATGAAAATTCTGGCATATGGGAAAGCTTTAACTTGTATTGGTAGTATCAAATTTCGTAGTTATGTTACTAGTGCACTGATTTAGATATTTAACTGATATTAATATAAATTTATATGAAAAATTGATATTTCTTCTTTATAGGCAGCTGAAAAAGAAGTTTAACATACAAGGTATTCCAACTCTAGTGGTTATAAAAAAAGATGGAAGTGTTATCACAACAAATGGAAGATCTGATGTTGAAAAGAAAGGAGCTGCTGCTTTTAAAGAATGGAATAAATAGTTAATTTTATATTACATTTATCACAAATGGAAGTTGTTAAGGGGAAAAGGGAGGAGATTCTTTTTAGAAAGTAAAAGGGTTGACTTTATTACATATTTTTTTAATGTTATCGGCAATGCTAGTTTTAATATACATTTAAAAAACAAACTGTTAAAACTTTTGCCTTTCAACTATGAAATAGAAATGCACAGTGTATTATTATTTATTAAACTTTATTATTTTAGCATTTAGCATGGAACCTATTTTTCAGTGAAATGTAAATAAAATTTTTGAAGATTGCATTGTATTTTATGTATTAATTCTTTTGTTTGTGTATTAGAATACATTTGTGTAACTTAAGAGAACTTCAGTTTTGATTGTTTACTGGCATTTTACAAAATATGTGGTAAAATGTATCTGCCTTTTTTTTATAACTCATGAACCCATTCAAAAGATAACATATATGTCAGTGAATCGCCAAAAATATTCCTCCAAAATGCTAATTCACACTCAAAATGGCAGTCGTAGAAATGGACAGAAATTTCAGATGATTAAAATTAAGGACCTTCTGTTGATTTTGGCCAAAATTAAGCACCAAAAGTCAATTCCAAAAAATCTAAGGACTCTTAAGAGACCGTACGAACCCTGTTTTTTATGTGAAATTACCTTGATGTTTTATATGATTATAAATTACCTAAAATACTGTAGTTTCCTTTTTTAAGAAATTATCAATGTATTCTTTATTTTTACTGTTAGGTCATTCAACAATATTTACACCATCATTTGTGAGTTCTGTTTTAAAAGCATTTATATCTGATTTATTATTCCTACCATCTATTTTGTAATTGGCTCCAAAATGTCTTTTCAATAAATTTAATTTGTGTAGCCTTTAAAAGCACTTCGCATTATTTCCCTTTTTTCGGAACAGTACTGGATTTTAACAGCTTCTTTTGCAGCAATCGAAGCAAGCGATTTTTCATGTCATCTTCACAATCACTGCATAGAAGATATTCATTGTAAATTCTTGCAATCTTCACATTAATCAAATCCTGTAATTAATTGACACGTGTATAATTTTTTTCTACCAAAAGCAAAGTGTCCTTTAGAAAAATATGAAAAGCAATATCTTTACCTTTCTCATTTCCATGAATTTTATGACACTTTGCTACTATGCAAGAAGGCATATTACATAAACGATAATTTACAACAATGGTTTCAAACTCACACACCTGCCAATGCACAATTTAAAAGTAGCTAAGGGGCAGCAATTATCATTTGAAAAAAGGGTTGGGTGTGTGGGGGAGGGGTTGAACAAAACAAAATTTGATAATAAATAAAAAAAACTTTTTGCTACATATTTGTCAAAATTTACATAAAATGTTTATTAAAAAAGGCAGATGTCTGTAGCAAAAGTTTGGCTTACATTTAGCTGATCTTATTCTTAAACATCAGAAATAGTTTCTGTAGTTAATGTAAAATATAATTATCCATTTGAAGCAGTGAGCCTTGTTTTATGAACTTAGCCTTAATATACAAATTTCACATAATAAAGCCTGTCTTCTATAATAACAAAGCTCCAGATATCAAGATTATTTGTTTTTTCAGTGCTAATTAAAATTAAGCAGTCTGTTTATTTGTACATATATTTGTTTTTAGAAGTATTAATCAATTCAGATGAATATGTGTGAAATGCTTATTGTCTGTCATCGCAAAACAATTTATTATAAGCTAAGTGTATTCATCTCATTTAATTCACCAGTATGTCATTTGACAAATATATAGCTCCTAAAATGAATAGAAAAGCAGTTATGTATTGGAAATAGGCCTACAGTTCTCTGTTTGCTCTTTTTATGGTGCTTAACCATGACAAGTCTCTAAAATATTGTGCTGATGTTATTCATAAAAGAAATATGTCCTTCTGTATGCAGTGAAACTGCAGTTGTGTACTATTAACTTTTGATGCATACAGTGAATTTCTGTAGCTGTTTTATTTTTTCTTGTAGAAAGGTTTACTTGTATGTATAGAACTATAGTTGCTTTGGCAAACAGCATATAACGTTATTAAATTTTTAAGCAAAATCTTCGGTAGGGAAAAAAAATGCAAGATAAGTGAAGAAATTAATGTTGATCACATACATTTGTTTTCTAGTAAAGCAGTGACTAGGTCAAACTTTGAAATAATTTTATGTGGCCCACGAATGCATTTCCCTGTAAATTAATTATCATTTTTATGCCAGGCATTTGAAGAAAACATTTAAGATTTTAATGGTTTGAAGTTCAGTTTTATGTTATTTTCATTACCAAAGATGAACACCATCGGAAAATCTGGAAATGGAGCTAATTAATTTACATTGTGATATAAATCATATTTAGATATATGAAGATAAAAATATTAACTTTAATTATCACTTGTCAAAAGATAAATATCTTCAGTTAAGAATTTTTGTAATAAGAATGCTCGTTTTGTTTTTCAGCACGTTTACATAAGAACAGTTTTTTTTTTTTTTTTTTTTTTTTTTTTGTGTGTGTGTGTGTGTGTGTGTGTGTGTGTGTACGATAAAATAAAACAAATGAAATGCTATCAAATACTAAATAAAAATCAAATATAAAACAAATCAAATACACATTTAAAAACAAAAAGGACTATGGTCTTACACTATTTACAATTATTTACAATACGTACTATGGCCATAGTAATGAGCTAACCTGTCGACATAGTAATGAACGACTTTAGGTTTAGAGTTCGAAGACTTACGGATCCGAACCACAACGTCATTTAGCCTGTTTAGGACTGTGTACGGACCATCCCAAGTAATTTCGGACAGAGTCCTTTCCGTTGAATTGGGTTCCACAACCACACCTTGTCTCCTTTGAATCTGTGTCCAGTAGCTCTCGTGTCGTATCTGGTCTTCACTTTCTCCGTCGCCAAGTTGACTCGCTTTCGTGCGGAACGGTGCTTCTCTTCAAACCGGGCCTGGACATCTTGGATGTATTCCTCAGGCGATGAAGGTGCAACCGTAGGGACACCAAACAGGCGGTCACAAGGCAGATGAGGGTCTCGACCGAAGAGCATCTGGGGATGGAGAACAGTTGGTAGTCTTGCGCTTCTTTTCCACTCTAGTATGATTTCGGCAGCTTGCCGAGCTGGGTTTTTCGGACAAGGCGTCGGCTTTTTCTAGGTGAGGACCCCATCTGAGGATGGATAGTCATGTCAGCAGATAGTGAAAGCAGTTTGTTGTTTCTGAAGTCTAAGGAAAAATTGTATTTCCTTAAAAAGTCCAATCCGAGTATGCATGTATCTGTAATATCCACCTCATAAACTGTGCGATGGTAAGTGGCACTTCCAAACGTGATGCTCACGTTTAACTTCCCAGTTATGTCGATGTTATCACCAGACGCAGTCCGAAGGGTAACACAGGATGGCGTCCAAATAAGTTTATCTTTAAACCGCTCAGCTAAATCTTTCCTAATGATGGTAACATTAGCTCCTGTGCCAGTGATCATATTGCAAGGAACTTAATCGATATTTCCATTGATGGACAGTCCGTTACTGTTGCCACTCACTCTAGAAATCTTGAGTGCTTTAAAACAAGGTTTCATTATCTGGCAACCTCTGTTCCTTGATATGGTCATTAATTTGTTTCCTGCGTCGTTGCTGAGAAATGATCTCAATTTTCGTACCCTGGGGTGTTCTGCAATTCTTTCGTACGGGGCCTTCAGCTCCACAGTTCACTTCGGTTTTTTGTCAATCCTTTTCTTTCCCGTGGCATTTAAATGTCTGTAAATCATATGCCTTATTTTCCGTGCTCTGGGGTGTTCTGCAGTTCCTTCGTAGGTGGCCTTCAACACCGCAGTTCCAGCACTTTAGAGTCGATTTCTTTTCACTGATATTTCGTCTCAAGGCATTCAGTTGTCTGGTTATATCGTCTAGACAAACAGTGACTTGATCCCTAGGCTCTTGAACTTGAGCAGCTCTGATTGGGTGGCGGTCTCTACGAGTTGCTTGCTGGGCTGCTTCGAATTTCATGGTGTACACTAGAGCGCTTTTTAAATCTTTAACATTCGCTGGCACTCCGTAAAGGCGAGGTGGGACAGCCTTTCAAAATCTGTGGCGAGTTCCTGGAGTGATTCAGTGGGCTTCTGTTGACGGGATTTTAATTGAAGCCTGCTGTAGTCTTCTAAACATTTCTCGCCAAAGCGCAGCTCTAATGCGCCGGATAGAGCTTCGAAGTCAAGTCTTTGGTTTTCTGGAAGCGTCTGCAGGATATTCGCCGTATCTGCTCTCAGAGAAGCGGCGAAATGACAGACCTTAGTTTGGGTATCCCATCCATTCGCATCCGCAACGATAGAAAATTGTGTCCTATACACTTGCCAGGAGGTCTTCCCATCATATGTAGATAGTTTCAGAGAGGGAAGAGCAGGCATTGGTAAAAATTTAAAACCATCCAAATTGCTCCCTATCGTCGCTACGAATTTCTTTAAAGTATCCAGTTCTTTGGCAATTGCAGAAACTCTCTCATCAATTTGTTGTTCGATTTGTTTTTGAACAGAACATACTCTTCCTTCTATTTCTTCTTTTCATTCTACATTTTCCTCAGTTTGTCCCACTTTATTTTCAACTACATCTATTCTGCCTTCCATAGCATCGAATTTGGTTTCTATTATGCAGGCAATTTTCTCTTTTCATTTCGTATTGACTTTCTTCAAACTTTACTTGTATGGCTTTTATTTCTTCTATAACAGATTCCTTAACAACTTTTATTTCGTCTTTAAAAGTTAATTGAGCAGCTTGAATGGCCTTCATCTCTTCCTTAACGGATTCCTGGCCCAATTTCATCTATTCCTGTGCCGCTTTCATTTCTTCCTTAACGGATTCATGGCCCAATTTCATCTGTTCCTGTGCCGCTTTCATTTCTTCCCTAACGGATTCTTGGCCCAAATTCATCTGCTCCTGTGCCGCTTTCATTTCTTCCTTAATGGAGTTGACGGCCCCTTCCATCTTTTCTTGGAAAGCAGTAAATGCAGTCATCATTTGCCTGAATTGTTCTTCCATCGCTCTTGTAATTGGCATTCAAAATCCCACTTCTGACACCAAATTCGACCAAAAATTGTTGCGTGCGTATACGAAATGAATGCACAAATCCGATGAAAAATGAACCAAAAAAAAAAAAAATTTATTACTATCACAAATTCCCTCAGATATTCTTTCAGTTTTACAATATCTCACAGTAGTTATCTTCTAACTACTCAAACATTCAAAAGAACTTAATTCAAAACAGCTAGAGAAAGCTAATCCGTGAATTCGCT